AACGGAACAAAAAGGCGGGTGCGAGGGTAAGTACGGGGTGCATGCAGGCCAGCTCGGGAAAGGTTGTAGGAGGCAATACACACGAGGAGGGAACTACTGCAACTAGGCAAGGGGAAATAATGGGCCGTGCAGCCGACCTGGGGCCCGTCCGTACCGCCCATGCTCAGGAGCTGACTGAGGGCTGGAGCAAGGGGTCCATAGTGCACACACAGCAGTACTGTCTGGCCCGGGAGAACTGGGGGGGGGGGGGGGGTCAGCCTCCTAGCCTAGACCGATCTCATGTTCATCTACGCCCAGTCTAGGCACAGTTGAGTCACCGTGTATACGCTGGTGTGCTGTGCGTGGTGAAATCCTAGGCTGATCGTCGTCGGGCGCTCCGTTCTTCGGAGACCGACAGTACTGTTCCTACCTTCTATACCGGGAGGTAAATAGTACTGGAACCGCACAAAATCATCAGACGGAATCCACACACAGGGTGCCACGGTCTTGGACACGTCTGTCTCACTGCTCATCGTGGCCTCCTCGCCAAACGACCATCCGTCGTCGCAAGATATCAGCGAACAGCCTTTCACTGCAGATACGCGCACGCACACATACATACATACATACATACATACATACACGAACACGTGCGCAAGCACACATGCATGCACGCACGGGCACACATGCGCAGACACGAACACACACACGCACACACACACACACATACACACACACAAATACATACTTACACATGCACACACACACACACACACACATGCACACACACACACACAAACACACACACACACACACACACACACACATGCACATACATAAACACATACACACACATACCTGATTACACCCTTACACATGCATAAAGCTAAAGCGATGATAGCGAACAAAACATGTTAGACTAAGTAGCAAAAGAAAAAACGAAAATTGAAAAATAGGTGTACACACACGCGCAAGTGCACGCGACCCCCTCCCCCCCCCCCCCCCCATACCCATCCACACGCACGCACGCATGCACGCACGCACGCACCCCCCCCCCCCCCCACACACACGTGTGTGGCGCTGTTTGGAAGGCCGCTGTAGTGTCACATTAAGTCAAATGTTCGAGCGTTTAAATAATGGTCTTGCAACGCGCAGCCTTGTATCACGCACTCTTAAGTTGCCCATGCTCAGAACTGCCTTTGCCCGTCATGGCGCTTCCTTCCAATGTGCTAAGCTGTGGAATGATTTGCACCCTCTAGCTCGCTGTGTGGATAACTCCGCCCGCTGAAACTGTTACCCCAATGCCTTGCTTTTCACGCTAGTAATTATGACTTTCAGCTATGCAAAATGCGAACATGATCACCTATCCAATACCGGTAGTCTATTATATTAAAGGGGAAGGATACCCTAAAATCAAATTTTCACCAGTTGTAGTCTTCTGGGTGCTGAGTCGAATGGTCTTGGTCCGAGGAAGCTGCGATGCTCCCTTCCTACTTGAATCCCAATCGAACTTGCGCACTTCCACCGAAACTGGGTGACTGCGCCCTACTAGATGGGGATTTGTATGCAAAATGTCACTAAAAGCGCCATTTCGTTCTTATAAAAGCGCGGATGACCGCGATTGGCCCATATATTGTAGTCTTTTGGACGTTGAGTCGACTGGTTTTGGTCCGAAAAGGCTGCAATGCAGCGTTCCTCCTTTATTCCCAATCGAACATGGTTGAACAAGCGGTCACGTGCTCCTGGGTGCCCAAATCACCTGGTCACCGCGCCAGCAGGCGACAACTTTCACACCAAGGTTCAACTCGAGTTCAACTCGAGTGACAGGACTGCACCCAAAAAAGGTCAAACAGGCTAGTAAGTTGTACCCTGCAGGCACGGTGACCAGGTGACTGGTGTACGCAGGAGCACGTGACCGTTTGTTCAAGCATGTTCGATTGGGAATAAAGGAGGAACGCTGCGTTGCAGCCTTTTCGGACCAAAACCAGTCGACTCAGCGTCCAAAAGACTACAACATATGGGCCAATGGCGGTCATCCGTGCTTTTATAAGAACGAAATGGCGCTTTTAGTGACATTTTGCATACAAATTCCCATCTAGTAGGGCGCAGTCACCCAGTTTCGGTGGAAGTGCGCGAGTTCGATTGGGAATAAAGGAGGAAGGGAGCGTCTCAGCTTCCTCGGACCAAGACCATTCGACTCAGCACCCCGAAGACTACAACTGGTGAAAATTTGATTTTAGGGTATACTTCCCCTTTAATTATTCACATCTTTTTGCATCTTTCTCTTGAGTGGGTCTATTGTTATTAGGCAATTGTCTGTTATAGTCACCACTATAAATAAAAATCCAATCCAAAAAAAACACACCCACACACACACCCACACACACACACCCACCCACCCACACACACACACACACACACACACCCACACACACACACCCACACACACACACACACACACACACACACACACACACACACACACACACCCACACACACACACCCACACACACACACACATGCACATACATCCATGAACACAAGCCCCCCCCCCCCCTCCCTCCACCTCCCCCCCTCCCCCCCCCCCACACACACACACAGCTATACTCTTGTCAAGCATACCTTCTTGCCGGCAATTATTGACAGTGGACACGCGAACCGTCAGCGCAAGAAGTTGACTCGAGTTGTCCAGATGCACGACGTAGCGGAACACCGACCAAGGGTGGGCACTCAGCACACGAGTCCTCTGCACATTGGTAGTCCCCCTCTGCTGTGCAGCCATATCGACGGCTAACCGTGGCGACGCAGACGTCCACGGTTTAGTGTCGGGGAAGAGAGGCGCGGTGTGAATGCTCACTCGGGCGCTGGCACCGGCGGACTCAGGCGGACGACTGCCGTTGAAGATGGCCGTGAGGTGCACGCGATGGCAGGTGGACGAGGACGGGGCTAGGGCATGCGACCGGTACGCTCCATCGCTGTGTGCCGATACATTGAATGCGGCTACTTCCGGCTCTGGGCATGCAGTTGGACAGGGAGGAGGACAAGACCAGAAGAAACTTCAATTATTTCGAGTAGGGGTGAAAGGATTATGTGGTTTAGTCGAATAATTAGTTGAAAAAAATCTAGTCGATTACGATTTTTCTAGTCGCTACAGCATTTTCGTACGACATACTATACGGTACGACAAAATATCCGGCAGGTGCAGTGTGTCTACATGACTTTACTGCATGCAGCACATGTACCAGAGTACGAGTCGATGCGCGCTTGCACGGAGGTGTCAATCAACGCGTGCAGCACGCACAGCGAGTTGCTCATGCTCTGGATTCACACTACACGCGTACCCGGTAGATCTACCTGATGTACTCTAGATCGGGTGACACCCGGCTCTTTTCTCTGCACCGCGCACTGATTCGTACCCGCGAACTTCCGTTCCAGTTGCTTCACGAAACTCACTGTGCTGGACAAGTAGCCTTCAGAATCAGTTTGTGCCTGTGCGACGGTCCATGTTTCCATTATTTTTGTTCTCTTTGAAGTTTGAAAATTGATTGTAGTTGATGCAAAATGGTGAATTTTGTCGTCAGTGGTGCTTAATCGATAATAATCGATAAGTAATCGATAAGTTTTGGATTAACCGTTAAAGGAATATCCCTTAATCGTTTCACCCCTAATTTCGAGGCAGTCTGCGGACAGAACTGTTTCGTCCTTTGCGGACTCATCAGTGCAGCACAGAGGAAATGAGGCCGAACTTGATAGCGATGAAAAATATATTTTCCAAAGCCAGATTTAAACCAGGCCCGAACGCACCTTGCCAGAGTGCTCAAACCTCAATTATTTCTACGTAACCACAATCCTGCTAAAGAGTTCTCCTCTACAAAAAGGAGCAGTGCGATCTGTAATAGGGTATGACTTGGCACGTACACACGCGCAGAAATGCATAAACGCGCACACATGTCCACACACATACACACACATTCACTCTCCCCCCCCCCCCCCCCCCCCACACATACACCCCCCACCACGCACACCCCCCCCCCCACGCACACACACACACACACCTGTCCTGTCCTGTAGAGTCACTGCCGCAAAAGGGTCACGTGATCCCATCACTGGGAAACTTGAGAAGAGAGAGAGAGAGGACACGACGCTCGATGACGCTCCAGGTGCACGGGTAGTCGCATCCGCTTGCCGCATATGCACACGTGCTGGAAGGCTGAGCGCTCCTCTGCTGTTGGTCTATGCGCCACCCTTGAACAGCGATGCCTTCCCCGTCCCCGGACACCGCGAAAGCAGCGACCACACCTGTCACAATGCGCGGCACAACATCCCTCCGCCGGTGCCGACGCTCCGGTAGTTCCAGGTGGCACTGCGGCATCCACCGTTGAGGCACACACATGCCGGACCAAGCCACCGCGGCTTCTCAGCCACCGCCCACACCGCCCGCACTGACTGACACACACAGACACAGACACACACACACACGCACACACACACACACACACACACACCTCAGACCTCAGACCTGCCCATTGCAGAAGCGATGATAGCGAACATCTATGTTAGACATAGCAACTTGTGCTGGGATTACACCATTCAACAGCTTGCAAGGCTGATGAATTGACCGCCACTAATTTTAGCCTGGTATCCACCACACAGCTGATTGAAGTGGCTTTTTCTGGCCAGTGAATCCCTATTTTTCATTTTTTCATTTTTTACACACACACCACATACTCACACACACACACACACACACACACACACACACACACGCACACGCACACGCACACGCACACGCACACGCACACGCACACGCAAAATCGATATTCATTACCTTTATGACAGGGCACGATGGTGATGTCGTCGATACCGATGCGCCCAATCATGCGTGGGCTGTAACTCGACAGCATCATGGATTCCAAACGAATTTGAAAATTCGTACCCTCGGGCAGAGCCAGGCCTACAGAGTGCCATGATCTAGAAGATAACCTTGTGGCCACCTCCTCCCATCGTTGTGTGACTGAATGGAGGAACAACATACGGACCCCACTCAGGATTAGTCACCAGAAATGTTCACGATCATCGGACGGTGGCAATGGAGAATATAGAATCCCACTTGGCTCAGAATACATTTCTTTCACCCCCCCCCCCCCCCCTCTCTGCCATCTTCAAGCGCCCATACACGTTTGCGTGCTTGTGTGCACACATGAATGCATGCCCACGCAAATGCGCATGCACACGGAAATGACACACACACAGTGGCATACAAGTACACACGTGCACACACGCACACACAAACGCACACACACACACACACACACACGCACACCCACACCCACACCTGTACACACACATACACACATACACACACAAGCACACACATACGCACACACACACACACACACACACACACACACACACACACACACACACACACACACACACACACACACACATACCTTTCCCGTTTGCCACGACACTGACGCGCAAGGTGCCAGAACCTCGCCGCCTCAGCTTGTAGAAGAACTGGAGACACTTATTCTTAGTCGGCGCAAAGATGGGACTGTGAGATGTGAACACTTTGCGGAACGGTATGCGAGGATTGGGCAGGAAGTAATCACCTGTCCAAGGAGAAACGGTAACGAGAATGCAGGAAAATAGCGTTAAAGCAGTTGAATCACCAGGAGATAGACCCAGTCCATACATGCCAACCTGGAGGCTCGAGTTCCCTGGACAACGAGGCTAAATTCCCTTGATTTTGTCCGTTTTCCCTGGACGCCAATTTTGTTAGCGCATCCATCATTAGCAGATGCATTTTTCATGACTGCTGCTCAATCAAAAGGCATATCATTGCTTTGAGCTGTAACTGCACAAGTACACTTTCTGTTGACTACCGTTACACTGGCAATCCATTGCAGTTCTACATTGTTTTTTTGTCTACTACGTGCTGTGTGCACATACAACGGATCTACAAGTTCGAGGCAACACTGAAAAAGCGTCATAAAAAGGAGAACTTCAATTTCAAAAGTTCCATCTCAATCCCTGGACTTTCGCAGGACATCCCTACGTGTAGACCCTGGGACAGACACTCTATTCCCCGGACTGTCCCGGGAAACCCTGGACGGTTGGCATGTATGCCAGTCAGTGCGCTAACAGTGCTCAACACCGCGGAGGTTGAGCGTAACACACAGAACGACAAAGGGAAAGCACGGCTAGATAGTCGCCACTCTGACTTTCACGCTTACGCAATCATCGGGCAACATCTAAAAGCAATTTCAATCTTTTAAAAGCATCAGCAGTTAGACAATGGATTACCCTGTAGTGTGTTGGAAATGTCCAGAATTGTGGTTAAAAAGAATTTTATACAAGGACGGTATGCATTTATACCTGTTATTTTCCGTGGTTGGATTCACCCTCCCTTTCTTGTATTGGCTATGTATTATTATGTGCCATGAAGTGGAGGCGATAAAATAAAAAAAAATAAAAAATACCACATAAATCTGTGATCACTTCGTGCATACAAGTAAGATTTTCCGAAATTGGGCGTTTGTTATCCAGTCGCTTAGAACTTTCCATGAGAAAATTGCAGGAGGCGCCTGAGCAATATTCCGGAGAGATTTCTCGAAAAGCTCTAACCAAGTTTGAATTATTGGAAAAAGTCTAGAGGTCGATACTTTTGAAACACACTATGGCAGTGCGACACAGAAGACGGACGCAAACCTGTTCGCCGTTGCCAGGTGGCGTCGGCCATTGAGCGTGCTACCTGACTGCCGTGTATCCACTCTGTCGTACTGAAACCACACGTCTGTCCGCCGGTGAACGAACAGAGCAGATCGTGGCCGATGGTTACTGCCGACGGGGGAGAACAACATGACACCGAGAAGACACACACCGACACATACCCACACACACACGTGCACACACACACGTGCACACACAGATACACATGCACACACAGGCATACACATAAACATACGCACACACAGTCAAAGCCGACCGTGGCCGATGGTTACTGCTGACGGAGAGAACAACACAATATAGAGAAGACACAAACTCACACACACAGACACACACACACACACACACACACACACACAGCCACACACACACGGCCACACACACACACATTAACTACAACACACAGCAGCTTGTGGTTAGGAGGGTGCTGGCCAGCGAAGTGAGAGGCTACGGAGAGAGCAGGATCTTGGCGGAGCCAAGAGGATAGTCACGTCCGAGGGACGAAGACCGAGAGCCCTGAGTAGCCGGAAATGAGCATGGCCAACACCCCTTTATTTACTTTATCAAAGTAAATGAGAGATGAGAAATGGGAGGTGGGTGGGTGAAACACAATGATCTGACAAGAGTGATCCACACACAGAACGGATCGAAATATATAACAAGGCTAACTTTAGCATGGCACGTTGAGTGCCCACGACGCATGCCCCCTACGTTTAGTGTCGCGCATGAATGAATGTCACGTTGAGCGTCACGTTGAATGACACATAGAATGCCACGAATACATTGTACATGCAGCAGCATATTACTCAACAGACGCTTCTCATCTGATGGGCGAGAGAAGTACCGATCACATACTTGGCAATGGACATTGGGTGTGGGCGGCTCGGGCTCGCAACAGCAGTACATGCGGTGCCAGTCGGGGCGAGAATCTGCCAGATCGTACCATCCCTCCACAGCATTCAGGGCCTTCAGGTCTGCACTAATGCAGTCTTTCCAGCATTTGCGTGGACCGCCAGGTGGACGGCGGGATGGGAGCAGACCGAACAACAGAATCTTCGGGATGCGCTCTGGTGGCATGCGAGCAACATGAACCAGCCACTCAAGTCGTCGCTGGCGAATCCGGACAGCAAGTGGGCGCTTGTCGCCCCACATGTCCAGCAACTGATCATTGCTGATCCGCTTTTGCCAGGTGTCTAACCTTGCAAGAACGGTACGCAGACACTGCATGTAGAACGTGGTAGACCACTGCCCCATGTACTGAACAGTTGCTTCGTGAGTGAAAAGTCGTTATACTCGATGTATTTCAGGTCTTCGGGCACCAAAAAAGTGTCAGTAAATTTGATCTGTCGTTATTTTCGAGGTCGTTATACCCGATCTATAATGTACAGAAAGGACTTGCTAAACGACCTGGGCAGCAGACTTTGTCGCTACGATTATAAACTCGATTTGTCGTTATATCCAGGCAAGGTCGTTATATCCAGGCAAGGTCGTTATATCCAATCTCCGCTGTACTATGGTGTTGGTGGCAAAGGGGGCTGCACGGTACAAGATTACAAGGTAACGTGAAAGTACACGGGGGTTACGCGCACAGAGCGCCACACGTGGACACCCTCCCCTCCCCCTCCCTCTCCCTGCCCCCTGGCCTGCAGGGAGTAGTACCGTAAAATGCCCGTTGATCCGCCCCCTCTCTAATTGCCGCCCCCTGTCGACTTTCTGCCTGGGAAGCAACGCTGGCGTATACAACAAAATACGATGTTGAACTGACGCATGCACTGCTGTACACAATATGTGCGAGTGCAGGATGAAAATGCGCACAATCCAGCACATCGAGTCCGAACTTCCACGTCGTTGTACATCGTACTGCACTTGACAGCCTTGATATAATTCCCGCCCCCTGCCGAAAAACCCAGCTCGGAAGCGACATGGCGTGGGGGGATCAATGGTACTTTATGCTATATACATCCCCCCCCCCCCTCCACTCCCGACCTCAGGACGTCACACAGACAGATATGATATTAACACAGCACTACAAGCAGGCACGCAAGAGCCTACGGTATGGCAGGACCAGTCAAAAACTGCTTCGACCGGTCCTGGACGCGTGCAACTTACTATACGAGCAGCGCTTGAAACGGATATCGCCCACATGGACTAGAGAGTGAGCCTGGTACTCGGAGTAACCGTAGCCCGATGCGGATAATCGGATTTGCCACTCCGACTCCGTGGGCAAGGTAATGGGCTCGGTGATGCGCCACACACCTTGCTGCTGCTGCGAGTCTTCGCCAGCAGCCGTCACTTGTCGGTAATTTGTCCTGTGGCAGTGCAGCGGAACGTCACGAGAAAAGAAGAAAAAATCACGGATACTGTGAAAGCCACACATATAACGAAGCATTTAAAAAGCGACGAGGAGACAACAAATTTTTCATTGCTATAATTATAACGAAGTGCTAACTCTAACGAGTTAACGAGGAGACATCTGTCGTTAAAATAGAAATCGTTATACAGAAATCGATACATACCGTAAAAGCCCGTGTATAGGCCCCCGGGCGTATAGAATAGCAGCCTCGATTTCCTGGGCGTATACAAGGGCACGGGCGTTATTTTGGAACCGGGAGTATACTTGGAATAGGGATAGCAGTAAGTATTGGGTATCAGTACCTGTACATGTACTGGTGTTGCCGGCATACCTGGGCGTATACATGGGCATGGGCGCTATTTCGAAACAAAAGTGTTGTCTTCTCCTGACTGGGCGTGTACACGGAGGGTGGGCGTAATTTCGAGTGGGCGTATACAGGGGCTTTTACGGTATACTGTCCTACTGAGCGTTGAGAATGAGTGAGAATCGTTACCTTTGGTACACGTAAACTAGTCAATTTTGGGAAATCGTTATATAATTATATGCGCCTCGTTAGAATAATGGATTTAACAGTAAACTAAGGACCCGTCTTCTATACGCACATCAAGGAAACTCTTGGGTTGCAACCAGTGCGTCGCCTCTGTCTTGTCTGTATTCGCCTGGTCAGTCCGAACGGCTGACGGACTTGTTGCGGGATCATCGGATCTATGCGCCCGCTTTCAGTCGGCGATGTTGGACTCGTAATTTTTTTTGAAATTCACAGAATGTACATGTACTGATGTACTTACAATAATAATCGTTTAGCCGATAAACCGATCGTTATGGTATCGGCTAAGCCACTTAGGAAAAAACGTAATCGTTTCAGCACTAGCAAAAATATAATATTACAGATGAACATCATTCTGTACACAGCACACGTACGAGTGCCCAACGATATCTACGTACACGATGCCACTGGACAGCTGCGTTTCGATGCGAATCCACGCGCCTGCGGACACGTTCTGGAAGCGATATTCCACTTGCATACACTCGTCCCTGAACGCGGCGAAGTACACGGGACTGGTCAGGAGCGCCGGTGATATGAGTAAAGAATTCATGGCGTTCGGGTACGGCAGGTAAGCCGACACAACCCCGCGGTATCCGCTGTCCGAGTCGTCCTCCTTGAGATCACCACTCCCTGAACAGAAATGAGACAATGGAGAGAGAGAGAGAGACAGAGAGAGAGGGAGATAGAGAGAGAGAGAGAGAATCGGCTCGTTTTGGGAAGAAGGTTCGAAGGTTCGAATGATCTTCGTTTTCGAATTCAAAAGAAGAATGCTCAATTCAAAAGGAACCTTCGTGTACAAATGTTACTCGGACCTATAGACTCTTTTTACACGCATGTGTGCTCTGGTCGAAGTTGTGTACACGTGTCATGTCACACATTGGTGACGACTCGCGTTCTATAGAATTGTCCTTGATCTGAGGCACGCATCCGTGGTATCTCGAATCTCCTCGCTCACTGTTGCTTCGTAATTTTTGGCCTATGCGACAACTTTGTGACAACCTATGCGACAACTTTGTGTGCAGCACTTCAATAGAAGGTTAGAACGTTCGTTCGTTTGAAGCAGAAGGATTCTTTTCTCATAAGGAACATTCGTCCCAACACGAAGAGAGACCCTGCCCTGGTGAAACGTGCAACATTGATGTGATGCCCCGGTGCGGATTTAAACATAACATTCTCGAGTGGCATCCTCACCTGCACTTCCAGACCATCACAGACTCATAAGGCCGGGTAGGCTCTTGGCAAGGTTAAACAACAACGACAGTCAAATCCGAACGTTGCCAAGAAAATCCTGTCGCTGCCCCGATAGCATGGTTACAGGGTTGGTTGGTTTCTATTATTTAAATTTGTTTAGAGCACAGGCAATTCTGCCTTCTCACCAGAGAAAACACCTCCGGTTCCTACTAAGAACGAGGAGTATGGTATGCGTGTATACTGGCGACGGTGCTCCGTGATGGCATGATGGCATGATGGCATGATGGCATGGTGGCATGGTGGCATGATGGCATGGTGGCATGGTGGCATGATGGCATGGTGGCATGATGGCATGGTGGCATGGTGGCATGACGGCATGGTGGCATGATGGCATGACGGCATGGTGGCATTATGGCATGATGTCATGATGTCATGGTGGCATGATGGCATGATGTCATGATGTCATGATGGCATGATGGCATGATGTCATGATGGCATGGTGGCATGATGGCATGATGGCATGGCATGGTGGCACGGTGGCATGCATGTATTTACTGTAGACCGACCCGCACAGCACTGAACAGTCTGCAGTCGAGCACTGTACTGAGTGTAAGCCAGCAAGCAGGCCCCGGCAGGCCCCGACAGGCAGCAGGGCATAGCCACTGCATGTGCAGTACGCTACCGGTATTGGCTAGTAGTGTTAGTGCATGCAGCCCAGGAATCATGTACCATGCAGCCCAGGAATCATGTACCTTGCAGCCCAGGAATCATGTACCGTGCAGCTAGCTTAGCATTGGCGGGATTTTTTCGCGACGACTGCACTACTGTAAAAGCAGAAATTTTCAGTGGTGTTTTCTTTTCGGTAACTTCGGTGCCGAATTTTTCACCGAAATTAAAGCTCACCGAAAATGTCGGTACTAGTGCTAGTACACATACCTGGAAGAAGGATTTACCACAATTTTCCTCCACCGAACCGCCGATTTCGGACAATATCGAAACCATTACACCACCGAAAATGTCTGTAGTAGATACGGTAGCCAACTGTGTAGCAGAAATATAACAACTTGCGGTGAGTTTTCCTGCACTGTAATGTATGTGTATTTGAGGTAATTGCTTCGGTGTCGAAACAAAGTTTTTGACTGTGAGTGATTCTCCTTGTACGCTATACATAAACCGCCCAATATTCGCGTCACCAAATTTTCGCGATCTCTCAGAGCCAGCGAGCTCACAATGGCAAATGTTCATGGAGCACCGTGTCCGCACACATGACAAATCGCACTCACTGCTTGCAATAAACTTGCAACTGAAAAATGAACAAACAAGAGAAAGAAAGGAGGAAGGACAAAGTGATAACACATACATGTAACAGCAGTACATTTCACCTTATGTGTTATCACTTTGTACTTCCTTCTTTCTTTCTCTTGTTTGTTCATTTTTCATTTGCAAGCCTATTGTCAGCACACGCATTCATGGTTACTCACTGCTTGTGTTTGATTTCACAATGGATAATATTCGCGTTATGCTCTTCTTGCAAAATTAGCGAACGTTAACTAGTGAGCAATAGGCAGTTTACGGTAGATGGCATACCCACCTTTTGGCTCCCGGCCCCTATACCACCACGGGCCGTGCAGTGCCGTGAACGCTGTCTCTTCCTCGTACCAGGAGAGGAAGTCACGCCACCCAACATCGGACGGATTTCTCGCTGCACCAAAAGAGACCCAGCACCCAATACACAAAGCTCTAATCAGAATGTACACGCGACGGGAGACAGCTGCTACTGCAGAAGACTGGCCGACAAAGAAAACGTACAGTTGCGCTCACTGAAATCCTACCGAAACCTGCAATGCTGGCGCCTTGGACCAGTTCCGATTACATCATTGTATTTGTACATGTGTATGTCCAGCCGCATTCGTGCCACCATTCCAGGGCAGCAAGGGCCGTGCAAGTTTAGGGCGCCATAGAAGTATGCGATTTGGGTCGGATTCATCAAACGCAACTGTACGTAGTCAATACTTTGGATATGATGGAAAGGCCAGCTATATAAAAGCAATTCAAAAACTCTTTCCGACTTTTCACAACCTGCACTGGCCGCTTACTTTCCTGGTTGCTATGGGCAACTAACGTAGCATGCGTAAATTAATGTGAAGGCCGCACCGAAAAAGGCCGTTGTTTCGGGTAACCCGACCGACCGATGTTTCGAGCGCTGGCCGTTTTCTTTTCTTTTGTATACATTCATGCGTACCGATACATTTTATATGCGCATTCAACGCATGTACACGCGCGCAGTTTGCGATGTTTCAGGCCCAAGACTCTTCCTTCTTGGCTTCGGCTAGACATTTCTGTCCCATGTTTCGAGTTGACTCGATCGAGTCGGACTTGTTGCAGGGTGGTTGTAGTTGCCAAGTGCAACGTTGTCGACAGTGATCTGTTTTTTAAATTTGTTTTTACATATTCACAATCACGTTGCACTAGCCAATGAAAAGGTGATGTGGGCGATAGCCAGCCATGACGGTAATAGAGCTAGAGGGGAGAAAGAAAAAGAAAGAAAGGGGAACAGAAAAGTAAGACAAGCGCGGTTTTAGTTTAGAAACTTAAGTGGCCGTGATTCTGCCTGCAGTTTCCGTCGCTATAGTTGACGGCGGCCGGACCGTCGTCAACAGCGGCATGAGTCCCAGAGGATAGGTAGAAACTCTTAGTCCAGGAGGCGTCACTCGCTTCAAAGCAGTGTTTGCTTCCTCCGCCGAAACCGGGTCAAGCCGCAACGGTGCCGACAAGAGTGACAATGTTGACAAGAGTGACAACGTTGACAAGAGTGACAATGTTGACAAGAGTGACAATGTTGACAAGAGTGACAATGTTGACAAGAGTGACAATGTTCCACTTCGGACCCGGGCCATTGTTTTCCTTTACGTTGGAGCAACAGGAAGTTGTAGTTCCTGGCCCGCGACGTCCGCTGAGCGATGCGTTGATGCGCAACGTCTCGGAGCTTTGCTCTGCTCGGTGTCTGAGTATGACCAGTTTGGCTGTTCCTGGCGGTCTGATCGAGCTGTTAAAAAACAATCGAGCTGTTGTCTTTTTGATTAAGAATGCTATGTTCATGACATGTACATAGCAGTGTGTGCCTGCTTTTACCGTATTTCCGCTCATATAAAGCCATGGCGTTATATCCAAATATAAGGCCAACCTCACTTATAAAGCCATGGCGTTATAAGTGAACAAAATTCAATGTGGAGGAAGTTGCATCTGGCGTTAAAGGTGAGTTCAATTCTTTCAGTGAACCTACAGTAGCGGTGATTCTCTCTGCATGTACCCATCCCGACTGTCACATGCCATACCGCCATCGCACCCTCACACAAGTTTGTATGCCACCCTGTACACAATAGGTTCACAATTTGAAATTTTCAGGGAAATTGAAAGTACATGGATGCTCGACGTAAATGTCCAACTGCACCGTACGAGTACTCGAAGTTCATACTCTGCTGATTTTGTTGCATGTACGCGTCTCTCACTTTGAGCGCCATGGCGTTAAAACCGGGGCTATTTTCTCCAAAGATTTGATCCAAAACAGCGATGTTTCACCTATAACACCATGGCTCTATATGCGCGGAAATACGGTATACCGACCACACTTTTTGCACCTCGGCTAGCTGTGTGCTGTACACATGTGCATACCAGATCTGGTATGCATCAAATTATAAAAATTAATACTTTCAGCAAAAACAATGCGGCCGACCGACCGGTATTTTTCTGGCCATGTTACCCGAAACAGGAGACTTTTTCGGTGCGGCCTAATGAATAAGATGTTGAGCAAGAATCCGAAAACAGCTCTCGATTGGATCACGTCGGAGCTTGCGCCTTCTGCCGACTGACTTGACAAATGCATGACTCACGACTGCGTCTGGAGCACACAAGAAACCTGTAATAGGTGAAAACATGGGCTGCTCCAAACGCGAGAGCTCGACCTTCTTGCCGACTGGAGTGAATTCCCCGAATCACTGCTTATCAAGGAGAGGGTGGTGCTTTCGTGCAGGTTTGCCGAGTCGAAGGTTCCACAGGCATTTCGTTCACCAGAAACAGTCGTTGCTATCAAAGTGTCTAGTCGGTCAGCAGGAAGCGCGAGCTTCGACGTTCGGACCAGCTACTTTCTTCACCCAATACGGCCGATGCCAGAACATCTCAGTTCGATTACTTCTTCCTGACCTTCGGTTTTATATAATAACATTCCCGAAAGTTCGACTGCTCCGCCGACCCTCGAGCCCAGCACATGTAGCACAAATCGATGGCTCTTGGAATAAGAAGACAGCATCGTACAGCCTCCAAATTTCACACACTGCGTAGTTTTTCGACGCTAAAGACGATGGAATGGTGGCCGGCGTTGCGACCGGCCCAGAACAGGCCGGAATCGATACCCTGATATTACGCAGGGCGTAACATTGCCAAAATTCGCCGTGTGGAAACGGGACTTACGGTCTCAACAGCAGACACATCTCCTCTCTCGAACAAAGAAACCAACTCGTCCTGAGTTGCTAAATTTTTTACCTTGCCAAGGCAAGAAGCACAGTGATGTACGATTGTACCATGGACCCCTGTTTCCACTCAAAGGCGGTCTGGGTTCGAGGCACCGAACACCCTACCCCCATACAAGTGCATGTCCTTACATGTATATGCGAAAAATGGGTTTTTCTATTTCGCGAGGAAACAAATGTTCCGGAGACAAGGGCATGGCTCTTTCAATACATTTATTTAGGGGGCGTTCGAATTGTCTTCATCAACTGTTCGAATAAGTTTTTAAAAGAGATTAGTTGAAGTGTCCCATTAGAACGGTTTCTATCATTCTAGAGTTTTCAGTGGAATTGTCATGGCGATGATGACGTCCGATCAGATCGACCATCTCCACGTACTACGTGACGTAGCTATTCCAAACTCTTCGAAACTAATCCACCTCTCCCATCGGATGAGGTTGTGGAGTTTCGAGGAGCTTCGTTTTTCTGAAGAGGCCAATGAGGCCACCTGTAACAGTTCCCTGTTAGCGCTAACCTTATCTGCCCTCTAGCCCTCTGCCCTCTAGCTCTGTATCTTGCACCTTTCCCTATCCTGTCAGCACTCCCTATCAGTTGTGTTGCCTTGAGCAAGCATTGTCTTTTCCAAGAATACCTTCAAACGGTTACACTGGTAGCAAAGGATGGTTGACATGGTGTTCTTGGAGCTCGCCAGTGTCGTGGCGATCCTTGTTCTTTCTGTGTTGCTATTCAGGTTGGCCAGCGAGGTCCGTGAAGCCAGTTGCCAAGTCAGCGCCCGTCTGAGCAACCGACAACAACCGCTCCCTGTGCCGCCCGCTCATTCGTCCGGGAAGCCTCGGCACACTAAGGAGCCGCCGATCTTCGATGGCAAGCCCTCGCAGTTCAAGGAGTGGGCTTTCTCCATTGAGCTGGCGATTCGGTCACTGGGAATCACCGACTCATCCGTGATGGTGGATTACGCAGCGGGCTTCCTGAGCGGCAACGCCAAGCTATGGCTCATCGCATCGTTGGATACGGGTGTGGAGTTCTCGACGTGGCCAGCGCTGCGTGAAGCCCTCGCCAAGGTGTACGGTCCGTTGCATCATCAAGAGCGGGTGCGACTGGATCTCTTCGCTGTCAGGCAGCACTCAAGCTTGGAGAGCTATGTCACCGAGTTCTCACGCCTAAGCCTACAAGTGCCTGAGATCGACGAGCTGACCCGAGGACTGCTGTTCGTAAATGGACTGCACCCATCTGTCAAGACCCGGGTGCTGCGAGAGCACGCCACTGATCTGAGCCAAGCGATCAGGTCAGCGCAAACGGCGGACCAACAGCCGAACCCGATTCAGCACCGAAGTCAGCCCGTACGACCCCAAAGGCTAACACCGGAGGAGAGGCGTCAACTGAGTCGGCAGGGTGGATGCTTTGCTTGTCGGAAGCCAGGTCACCTAGCTCGGGATTGTCCCAGCAATCAACACCCAAATGCTGGTCGCCATCGAAGAATGGCGTGCGCTCGCTGGCGACCAAGCGGAAAGCACCCAACGATTACCCGGTTGACATACGCAACCGTTACAGCGTACTAGAGCTGGATGAACCGACGCTGCAAGCTGATTCGGAAGATGTTGCCGAACAGGAATCCCATGTCAGCAACGTTGATATCGCAGTACAGGACACGGAGCTTCCTTTGGAGCATGACCTTCTCCGTGTTGAGGGCAGGATCAACGGCCGCCGGGCAATTATGCTTATTGACTCGGGATCGACGCACGACTTCATATCGGAAGCTTTCGTGCAAAGAAACGGACTTGTTACGGAGAGCAAGGACGAAACACTGAAGGTAACCCTGGCTGATGGCTCATCGACATCATCAGGACTGCAGAGGACCGGTCCGGTAAAGGTTATCGTGAAAGACTTCAGCGACACCCAATCTTTCACAGTTTTTCCGTTGAGCCGCTATGATGCTATCCTGGGCAAGCCATGGCTGACCAGACACAATCCGGATATCAACTTTCAGACCAACGAAGTCAAACTGAACGGAGAGCCGCTCGTTGCTAAACCCCCTTCCGGCCAAAATAGTGATACGGAGCATCAGGAGTCGCCGCCAATTGAGAGCATGCTCATATCTGGTTCCCAGGCTCGCCGCAAGTTGAGGAAAGGCGCGCAGGGAATCCTGGCGTGGGTCAACGCTACTGACGACGAGGAGGAGGACAGCAAGCCATCAGCCGCCAGACAACACCCAGATCATCAAGAGCAGCTGGCTAACCTTCTGCGGCGGTACTCGGACATCTTTCCAGACGACCTGCCGACCGAGCTTCCGCCAGAGAGGGATGTCGACCATGAGATTGTGACTGAGGAGGGTGCCGTTCCTCCATCACGGGCTGCCTACCGTCTCCCCAAACCCGAGATGGATGAATTGCAAGCCCAGCTCACGGAACTCCTCCGCAAGGGCTTCATCGAACCCAGCAAGTCACCATACGGTGCCCCAGTCTTTTTCGTTAAAAAGTCTGATGGCTCATTGCGCATGGTTTGTGATTGGCGGAATTTGAACAGGATCACCATCAAAAACAAAGCTTGCCTCCCAAACATTGATGACCTGTTTGATACCATTCAAGGTAGCTCATACTTCAGTAAGCTGGATTTACGCTCGGGATACAATCAGCTTAGGATCCGTCAGGAAGATGTACCTAAGACGGCTATCAATACTCCCTTCGGTCATTTCCAGTTCCGGGTCATGGGCTTTGGATTAACTAACGCCCCTGCCACGTTTCAGTCACTGATGAACAGTATTCTCCAACCGTACTTACGGCGGTTTGTGGTAGTGTTTCTGGATGATATTCTTATCTTCAGCAAATCCTGGCAAGATCATCTTGAACATATCCAGACAGTTCTTGAGACGCTCCGGAAAAATAGGCTATTCTGTAAGCAGTCGAAATGTGAGTTTGGTGTCAAGGATGTTCTGTTTCTAGGGCATCGCATCGACGGTGAATGTATCGCTCCAGATCCAAAGAAGCTTAAAGCAGTGAGGAAATGGCAGCCACCGACGACAGTTACGGAGGTGAGACAGTTCCTTGGTTTCGCGAACTACTTTAGAAGATTTATTGAGCACTACTCTACTATATCGCGGCCATTAGAGGAGATCACTGGCAAACATGCCAGGTTCGAATGGAGTGGCCCCGGTCAGCATGCATTCGAATCCCTGAGACAGGCCTTGTTGAGTGCACCGCTGTTGAAACTAGCAAGCGTGCAGAAGCCTTTCAGAGTTGCAACAGACGCAAGTGATTTTGCAATAGCAGGCGTCCTTCTCCAACAGGGGGAAAGCGATAGTGCTTGGCATCCTGTGGCATATGCCAGTCGTAAGCTGTCACAAGCGGAGCGAAATTACACTGCTGCAGAACGCGAAACCCTGGCGGTGGTGTTTGCACTGCGATCCTGGAGAATTTATCTATTCCAGCATTTTGAAGTGTTCAGTGACAGCATGGCCGTAGTCTACTTGAGCACAAAAGCCAATCTCACTAAGCGCGAAGCTAGATAGGTTGAATTTCTTGCAGACTATGACTTCACAGTTAATCACAAACCCGGCAAGGAAAATATCGCTGATGCCTTATCCCGCCGCCCTGATCTGCGCGGGTCAGCAATTGGCAATGTAGTTGAGGAAAAGGATTGCCCACCCATCCTACCAGCACCCCATTTGAATACAATTGAGTTTGCTTTGGAACTGAGTGATAGTGTTGCTGAGATGATTTCGGAAGCATATCAGAATGACGAGCAGCTTTCCCCAATAATTCAGCGGCTGCGCGGCGATTCCTCTGATAATCTACACGAGCGGTACTATTGGGATGAAGAGTCCAGGTACCTATACCTGAGTGCAGCTCCAAACAATTGCTTGTGTGTACCCAAGTGTGCAGTAAGGCTTCAGCTCCTGCAGGAGTACCACGACTGTGTTACGGCAGGCCATCAGGGACGGGATCGTACATATTTCCGGCTTCGTCAACAGGGAATTTTCTAGAACCGCCCCAACCGGTTTTCGACCGGTTGAAATTGTTGGCGACCGGTTGAAAAGTTACAAATCAGTTCCAACCGCCCGTACTTTTCTGTGGGTGAATGGAGCTGTGAATGGTCAAACGCTTTTTTTCTGGACGGATACTTCCAGCGAAGCCGCGTGGGCTGGTACTAGGGTCACGAGTTTCCTCTGCTTATATCTTTGCGACACTCTAGCACCAAAAAATCTGTTAAATTGCTGTCGAGTGCCATATTTGGGTTGTATTTTGAAAAAATATTCCGGGACTCTTCATTCGACCGTAACCGGTTGGAAATTCGTCCTAGAATATACCCTGGACTCAATTCTTCTATTGGCCCAAGATGGGCCTTGACGTGAAGAAATTTGTTAAATCTTGCGGCATATGTCAGCGCACTAAGGGTGGGTTGCTTAGATCCGGTTTGCTGCAATCGCTCCCAGTACCAGACACCCCCTGGAAAGATATTTCCATGGACTTTATCGTTGGCTTACCCCAGACCCCTCAGGGCTTTGATGCAATTTATACATTTGTTGACCGGCTTACAAAATGTGTCCATTTACAGGCCCGTAGCAGCCCCATTTTGGTTGGTCCGGCAAGATCCGACTTGATGCTCCCCCCCCCCCCCCCCCCACACACACACATACTCATACATATGCCGGTACATGTACATGACATACATTGTACATGTACATGCATGTAATCGTGACCATGTAGAGTGACATAGGGCTAGAAAAGGAAGAAGGACGTTCTGCATGAGTCAGGAAAAAGGGCATCAGCATGTTGTGTCCGTCCAAACAGAACATGTTGAAGCCTGTGAAGGTATAGCAACAGTATCTAAATGCATGTGGTAAAAGAACCAAAATGTACCTTTGGAGGAGGAAAAAGGGTATTGCAATGGAATATCTTTGGTACAAATCCTATCTAGAAAGAATTGGAGGAAGAAAAGAATCCGAACACGTTTCAGGAAGTACAGTGTAGGAACATTCACAGGCATGACTGTCCTCATGACCTTCAGCAGGGTCATACTCCTGATGACATGTACTTGTAGGTCTACTACTGGCACTACTATGTAATACCTCTATACTACTTATTGCACACACCATCCTCATGGGTGGACATCCTGAGCTGCTCACATGGGTGAGCCCCCCCTTTTTTTTTTTCTTTTTTTTTTGGCCGAATATTGGTCCGGCAGCTGCCGGACCTGCCGGACCGCCTGCTACGGCCCTGATTTAGTCCCCACGACTTCCAAAATTGACGCTAAGGGTTCTGCTGATTTGTATCTCCAGAATGTGTTTAGATTACACGGTTTGAGTTCCACTATTGTTTGTGATCGGGACCCAAGATTTACTTCTGAATTTTTCCGGGAATTGTTTCATCAATTAGGTACCACCTTGTCGTTTAGTACTGCCAATCACCCACAGACCGATGGGCAGACTGAGAGAATGAATAGAGTAATTGAGGATGTGCTTAGAGCGTTTGTTAACCACAAACAAGATAATTGGGACAAGCTTCTGCCTCTTTGCGAATTTGCAATTAATAGTTCATATCAGTCTTCCACTTCTAGCACGCCGTTTTATCTAAATTATGGACTTAATCACCCACCAGATTTCCTGGCACGGAGGGGAGGAGGGAGTGCCCCAGACTGGATCCAGGATCGGGCGGATGCCGTCAAGTTGGCAAAGGACGCCATGATTGCCGCTCAGGCTAGACAAGCTCAGTATGCAGACAGGGGAAGGGTGCCCAGCAACCTGAAGGTTGGCGACATGGTGGTGGTGTACAAGGATTTCCTAACAACCGCAGAAGCCCGGGATCAGCCTTCACAGAAGCTACGCCCTAAGTCGTTCGGGCCCTACCCAATCATCAAGAAGATCGGACCCAACGCCTATCAGCTGGATCTACCCAGCGCTATTCTGTGCCACCCTGTCTTCAATGTCACTGCTCTGCGCCGGTATGAGCAGAATACTATTCCCGGCAGGCGGCAGCCACCCCCGCCACCGTTCACTGACTTGCACGGTCAGACCAGATACATGGTGGAGAAGATTCTTGACGATCGACAGCGAAGGCATCAGACTCAGTACCTTGTCAAGTGGCAAGGGTACCCAGACGACGAAGCCACCTGGGAGCCAGAAGGGAACTTGCTGGACGAGGCCAGTAGGCCGATAGTTGCTCTGAGGCGTTACAGGGCGTCCAGGGCATGTTAGTGACACTATGGTTACCGCGAAATGCAACTCGCTCAAATTCAATTGCACGTGTACCTTGAGAATTCCCACTTGATCCTTGTTGTGTTAAGCAATCCATTCCCCTCCTGTTTTAGATTTTCCCTATTTCCGCTATCTTCACTCGCCTGACTGTCCTTGGTTACCTTGCACAGTGCTTCAATTAGATGAGCGTTGTTGGGTTGACACGATTTCATTTGATTATTCCCTTTCCACATATTCCTCGACTCCCTGGAGGCACCTGTGCCTCGCTTAGGAGGGAGGGATGGTGTAACAGTTCCCTGTTAGCGCTAACCTTATCTGCCCTCTAGCTCTGTATCTTGCACCTTTCCCTATCCTGTCAGCACTCGCGTTATCACCTTAGGCCCTTTATCAGTTGTGTCGCCTTGAGCAAGCATTGTCTTTTCCAAGAATACCTTCAAACGGTTACACCACCTCTTCAGAAAAACGAAACTTCTCGAAAAGTCAAAGAGTGACAATTCGAACGCGCCCTTATTCATTGCTATTCAAGTCTTCAAAATACACTCTTGGGCCTTGAGTTTTTTTCATGCTGTATTATGTTGAGGTGCCCTTGCATTCGAAGTACGTGCCCGTTTATGCGCCTGAATACGGTAAAACCGGCTAGTGCTCACCTCGCATCGAGTCGGGAGGTCCTGGGGCACTTGCTAAGCTCCACAGGAAAATAGCGACTATGGCGGCAGTCCCAGCGACGCCGCTCCGCAAGACATCCATTGTTCAATCTTCTGTCGGGATAATTATTATTATTATCTTCGCTACTCTCGGAACGGTGCGAGCTGGGCGGGTAACTCCGCAGAACGTGGCGAGGCACATTCTCCTGTACCAGTGAGTATTATCCAGTCGCCAAGCACACGACTTCGTCCTGTTTCCAGCTCCAACTACTAGTAGTAGTACTGCTTGAGTTTGTAAAACAACCAGTTACCTGCATGCAGCTCGCAGTTGAGCTGTCGTGTCAGTCAGTGTTGACTTTGCGACACAAAGTTTTCATTCAATGAACCGTCATCTGGTCATACTCGTACTCGTAGTCACAGCTAGCTCTTTCTACATTGTACTACAAAAATAATAACAATGTAGTTTGAGTTTTGTAGTGGTCTCCCTGTTTACCTGTGACAGATTCACACGGATGCTGACGCGTCGACGGTGTTGCTCGGCAGCTCGAGACCTGTTTGGTGCGGACGCTACACTATAGCCTGTAGTATAGGCTACACAGAACAATGGTGTACCTGTTTATGAATATGATGATCGAAATGACTGTCAAGAATCTCTGAGTTAGTTTACCATCACAATCACATGCATGGTCTCCGTCACGGCGTGACACTCCTAGATCCTGTCCTGACACTGACAGTCTTATCCGCGTCTTCACTGCCGCTGGCCGTGTGTGGAGCATTGTGGTGTAGCCTAGGTGCATCATGGCACGTTTTCACTTTTCAGTCGTATCTCTTCGCTAGCTCTACTCAACCCTGGCCGATCGGATTCCTCCGGCCACTTTCAATGGGGTGGCCATAGAGGAAGTGGAGGAGCTGAAGGGTTAGTTTCTCTTCAATCGGAGCCTCTCCTTTCACTCCCACATTCGACAAGTTGCAGTCCGTGGTCACCAACGTCTTGGCTTCATGAGGAAGGCTCTGCCTACAAGGCCAAGCATGCCGTGTATCGCGGCTTCGTCCGCCCAGTACTTGAGTACTGCCCGCTGTCATGGTTGGGTGCGTCCCAGTCCCTGAACCAGCTGGACCAGGTACAGCACCGAGCCTTAAAGGGGCACTCCGGCTTCATTTTCGACGCCGAGTTTTCGATGCCAAGACGAAGGTAGGTGAAAGAGAAGACCCCTCGAACAAGAACGAGTCTCCAGAAGCGATCGAGTCGAGCAGGAAGACGACTTTTGAATTTCGGCCGAGCGAGCGCTGATGACGTAATGAGGGATTAGCTTGCCAGTGGAAATGCATCTGCGCACATACATTTCACACACTTTTTGGCCAATTTTCAATCGAAGAAGAGGTTGTTTGCTATGTTCTCCCAACGCCGTGAGCGATCCCGTCTTCTATACCCTTCCAGGTACCCTGAAGGTCCTCCAGAGGAGAATTTATCTCCATCAAAGCGTTGTTGATCCGCTAAATTCGTCTCGAGACATATTCACCCAGTGCAGTGCTGATAAATGTAGAATGTTGAATCTGTGATAATTGTCGACGATGGAGAGAGAGGCTGATAGCCGCTGTCGCAGGGAGAGTGAAGCTGCTGGAAGTAACAACAGGGAGCCCGTTTGTATCACCTGAACAACCAGACTTCAAAGCAGCTTGACCAAATCGGAGGGTGCCTCGTTGCTTATCGTGAATATTACACCGACATGAATTACTACAAGTATACTGGTGAGTTTTTATCTTGTTTTGTTCGTATGCTAGTACCCTGGCCTGGACGGTTCTCGTTAGCAAATTCCTATTCCCTGGCGTTTTCTAAACATTCCGTGTAGGACTGAATACGTGATCAAGTATTCCGATTTGGGTAGATGTGGAATTTGGACATGTATTTTATAAAAAAATTATTTTCCAAATAGAGCGTTTGTAGAGAAATGGTTGCCCAAATACAACAAAATTTATTCTGCAGTTCTACAACTAACTTGTACTGAAATCCAGTCGAAGTAAAAATGATTCTTCATGACAGTTGGGGTCAATGAAATCTGATCCAGGCATAACGAATGGTGACGCCTGCCACCCCGAGAACGAATGCCCATTTGGTGGGGGATACCAAAGTACTCGAAAGTAGTGCGTGTTTCAATGTGGCATGGAAGTTTTATATGATCTCTGGTCAATGCAACATACGATAGCCATCATGAATTGCAGGCCTCGAACGCAACTCCGACCCGAATTGGCAGTTCCCTAAGTTAGATGCTTTATAATTCCATGGCCCCAGCTGTAGTTATAGAGGGTTTTTTGCACATTATTCTTATAGTCGATAGGTTTATACTGATGGCCACAAACAACGGCAGTTCAAACTTCACTGATGTGTTCATGAGCTGAGAGATTTCTCTGCACTATTTCTGTTGTGCACACAGGTCTGTCCAATATGCATTGACCGTATTGGGTATGGTACCTGCTCTGAGAAGGGAATCGCTGGAGCTACAGTCCAACTATACATTCAAGAAACAGAGAGGAGCCATCTTTGCAAGCTGATACCTGATGTGTACCGACAGAATTCTCACGAGATAGCTTACAGACTACGCCTGGTGTATACTTCATAGTACTCCTTCGACTACTGTCTAGAATCAAGTCGACTGAAGCAAGTTCAAACAACTCTGGCTTCAAACGAGCCGTCGATTAGACAAACAAAACATTCTCTCATATACTAGAGCACTCTGACAACGCACGACCTATTCCTAACGATTGCCACCGCTTATAAATATGTAGAGTACTGATTGGAATGTGCTCACAATCTCAACAATCCAGTGCTATAATTATTTGAACTATGTGTTCCTTCCATAAATGTTGTATCCACATATAATCCACAGTGCTGCAAAGTTTCAGAGTTCTCAGGGTATCAAACAAAATTATTTCAAATACAGTGAAATAGTTCGTGGACATTATAGCGTAACTTGTAGTTCCCTGGTCCTTTTCTTTGCTATAAATTCATCCTTTGCTCTCTAGCCACCGGCGAGTCCAACAGTGAAATTGTTAGTTCCTATTTATGTGGGTATGTGGGGGGGGGGGGGGTGAACATATTTCTATATAAGAGACCTGCAACTGTAATACCACAGTACAGTAGATAGCAAATATGTAGAAAACAGAAATGCATGTTCCCATCATTGTACATGGACGGGCGCAGCAGGCCGAAGCTATCAGCCAGAACAGGATTTACAATCGCCTAGAGATACTTGAGCTATTCCAGTATTCTCCGTGAGCTGTCCCATTCCACAATGGTTCATGCCACCATTATTTCTGGTAGTATCCATGTGCATAATTCCAAGAACATCTCGGATTCTTCAGCAATTTGTGCCACGGCAAAAGACAACGCTTGACTCGGTCACTGGGGCTATCAAACTTCGCATCACAAATGAACTTCAATTTCTCATCTGGTTCAAGTATATGTACTGCCATGACTTGACCATGCTTCATCCACAGCTGGGCGAAGATTGTGGCGTTGAATTCCATAGCGCACCTTCTTGCTGCCATGCAGGAATATGTTGAGAGAAGTGAACATATTTTTACTAAAAAAACAACAGCCACTGAAGAGGATAGCATTAGCAATAGCCTTGGGTGAATTTCCTGCAGGTACACGTTGTTGGTAGGACAACTGGTCGGTCTCCATATCATCAAGTTCAGAAATCACCTGTACTACACATCTTGTAGAAGGGATCCTGATCGAAAAATTTTCTGATCATAAAATCCGCGATATTCATGTTAAAACAAAATGGCGTCACGATTTATTGAAAGTGGTATAGTTGGTGGTACGAGTGTTCAAAACCATTTGAACTTCATACTGTTCGTCTTCTCTTTGACATGCTCTCTTTCCATCTTCCTTAGCTTTTGTTTGTTGAGAGCTGTTTTGGCTTTCTCCTATACCTCTGGGGGATGCCAAGTGATGGTTTTGAGAGGCTGGTGATGGCTGTGAGCGAGAGTTTGCCGATCGGCGTCGTCCTCGCTATAGCGATGAAAATACTAGTTACTGCGCACCTGGCAGATATCACAACACGTCGGAGCGTCCAGGAGCAAAGGAATCTTGGGTTTTCACTGGAATCTAGTTCCTCCAGCATCGTGTAGCCCACCGTCGGTGAATGGCGGTCCAGAAAGGTCGAACCTGGTCTTCTGCAGCATCTCGCAGTCCTGCGAGGCACACTGAATACGCCTGTCATGTATTCTACAAATAAAAATCACGAAGTAGTGGACTTTACAGTGATGAGTCTATCCTGTATGCTGCAAAAGACGCAGAAATGTGACTGGTGTCTGTACACTCAGTGACTGGACGCCAACACCCCAGTCTTCTCCTGCAGGATCTGTTTGACATTGACATTATGCAGTAGGTCGGCATTGACCTGGTTTGACAGCCATCGTAATAGTATCTGCCTGGTTGGATGTAGCAGGTTGGTGTTTGCTCGTCGTCCAGTCCGGAATTTTCTTGTAACTCACGGTGGAGTACGCGCAGGGTTTGTGATCATCCCTGTTCACTTCAATATTATCAAACACAACGTTCCCTTTGTCACTCATCTTATCCTGAGTACTGAATTTGCTGACAATATTGCACCACACTTGTCACAACCTACCGCCACTGCTGGCAGTGGCGACTGGTTAGTCAATGGCGGTGACCAGGCTGACTGACTAGCTTCGAGACAGCGGCCTCGTTGTCAACCCCGCGGCAGCCTAAAGCCGGGTTGATTTTATCGATCCAGCCTCAGCGCCATGTTGACGATGCCCTAGTGACTGTGTGTCATGGATTGCCTTGCCATCAGCGGTCATTGCCGTCCACCTTGGTGCAGCCCTCAACAACTGGCTCACCCATGGGAGTCTCAAGTGGACAAAGTTGTTGCCAAAGTAGCTCAGAAAATTTGTGCATCGTGGTGTAGGTGAGCACATAACTAGGACTTCCCAGCGCCTATTTGTCCAGGCTGCGATACTATGTGACATGCTGTACTGCACATTCTTTTCAGCACTGCAAGGCCGGCAGCTGGACCGACTGCAGGGGTCGCGCACATGCAGGCCGCCTGTTGCCAGAGCAGCATTCTGGAACGTTCCTTCCTTCTGAGATCTGTGGAATAATAACTTTCTTTGCTTCAAAGCAAGTTGCTTACCTTTCTGTTGTGCTCCCAGGGTCCTTACAACAATAACCTACAGCAATGTTCTATTTTCCATTCCCCAACCAATGAATACTACGATGTTGATTATATTTCTGAATACTTTAGTGTGTGCTCGCGCACGCACGTGTGTGTGTGTGTGTGTGTGTATACCTCACTCGCCACTCGAAGTTCTGTTC